CAAATTCTTATGACAACCAAGATCGATGAAGAACTTGTTAAGCTTGCACAGGTGAGATAATGCTGTCGGATTAAATTTACTTCGGTTCTTTTAAAATATTGATGGACATTTGGGAAAAGTGTTGATCGTATATCAGAAACTAATCTTCTAATTGGCGGAATTAGTTGCTTTAATATATTTTCGAAATTTGTTACTTCGATATCTGTATGATTGGAGTACTTGGTACAAGTTCCAGAGCACTGTATCTGTACTGGTCATAATTCCTCAAAAAATTTGCTTTTTTTAGTGAGACATATTTGAATAATAAGTATAAAGAGATGAACAAAAATTTATTTGTGCAAAAGAAATTTGTTCTTAGAAATAGATGGCAAATAAAATAATTGATTTGAGACGAATAAATAGTTAACAAATAGCCAAATAAATTGCAGTTTGCTAAACATCATGTTCCGGAAACGCATCCAAAGGATACGGATGATTATGTGGAGCGCCGAGTTCGTTTACTTGTAGCTGATGGAGCTACAACGGCATGCATAGCGATATCGAAAACTGAAAGTAGGAATGCGTTGGAATTGTTGGCTCGTGCTATGTTGGCTTTCACGGAATTTTCGGACTTACGAGGACAAATTCTCAGTGAGGGTGGTGCTAAGGTAATTTTATCTACATATATTTTCTCGGAATTTAAATAATAAAAATCTAGTTAAGTATTGTAAAATTATGTCTAAGAATAACTCCTAAATATTACTCATTTCTTATTCCTTTACTTCCTTCTTTCTTTTCTGTTTATTTATTTTTGTTTTTGGTATGTTAATCACCTTCGAGAATTATAGAACATTATGTAGCTTATGCCCCTGCGCTGAAGATTTGCCATGTTACTTTTTTCCAGTTTTAGGGTGTTTCTCTGAAATCGAGATCTGTAATTGTTCGTACATTTAATTTCCTTTATTTCAGCTTTGCCTACATTTAGCGAAAAATGCAACACCAGTGGGTAAAATCAAGGCAGCACACGCTATAGCAAGGCTTGGATCGCAGGTTGTCACTTGTTTCCGTGCTTTATTTTCAATTCTTGTTTTTGCGTAGTAAATTGGTAGTGACGGAATCTTGCTGAGGATGTTCATATTTTCAGGTTGACCCCGCAATAGCATTCCCTGGTCAACGGGTGTATGAAGTAATTCGCCCACTGATCGAACTACTGCATCCTGATATTGAGGGAAGGCCAAACTATGATGCACTATTAACACTAACTAACCTAGTAAATTCATTGAATTAAATTAAGTAGGGCACAGTCATGCTTATTATACAGTCAGGCCTCCATAAAAAAATGGCTAATATTAGGTGACCAAACAGTCTTCACTTAGTAAATACAACAATTCTTTGGCTCTTTCTGGTTCGTTCATTGAAAGCTGACTAAAATTTGATTACTTTTGGTTCAATTATTATAAGGAATTCAGTTTCTCTGCATAGTTATTCGTATTAAACTGTGTGTAAAGATTTTCGTCCAACGTTAAGGTTAATTCAATCAATATCTTTTTCTTTTTTTTGAATTCACTTTTTTGCTTGAATAAAAGCTTGTAGATAATTTTATCTCTGTCCAGTTTAATCTAATTATTAACCATAGGCAAGCATGAATGATTCGATTCGTCGTCGGATGATTAAGGAACGAGTTGTATCAAAAACTGAGGAGTACTGGTTCATGACAGATCATGCGCAACTTCGTGCAGCAGCTGCCGAATTATTGCTTAATTTATTGTTCTGTGAAGATTTCTTCAACGAGATTGTTCGGGTACGTTTTTCTACCCTTAATTTTATGGTCATCTGATCTCTCTACTAGATGGTTTTCCGGATATTAACATTGGTAGTTAATCTAATCTGTAATTCACTGGGAAAAAGTATCTTAAAGTTAAGCTTCGTTTCATTTTTCTCTACGTTACGTATATTTCAAAGTGCTGTTATTTTTTTTTATTTAGTGAAGAAATTGTCAACAGGTTTAATGATGTGTTTAATAAGTCGAGTTGCATGTTCTGGATGGTACTTCCAAATTATTTCTCCGAAGTGCTGGTAAAATTAAGGATTTTAGGAAATTTGAATTCCATGTGAATTTCCGGTTAGAAAACATGAAGTCGTTTTGCAGTCAAATTTTCAATGTTTCAGTCTGGTACTGACAGGTTGAAACTGTGGGTGCTATATAGTGCAGAAGAGGATGAACGTCTAGCACTTGCTTCATCGGGTGGTTTTGCAATTTTAACCGAAAATGAAGCAGCTTGTAAGCGAATCATTGATGAGCTGAAAAGTTGGCCTGAAGTTTTGAAGGACATCTGCATGTCTGAAAATATCGAAGTTCAACGCCGCGGTTTGATTGGGGTTGCCAATATGATGCAGTCATCGGAGAAAGTTGCCTGTGAAATTGTTGCTGTAAGTTTCGATATTTCTGAACTGCTTGTTAGAATTCTGATTGTTTGTTCACCCAAACACATTCCATGACTTCCTTGCTATTGAAAAATAAAAATCATGAAACTTCTTTGGGCATATTTTTTCTCTTGAAAATTATTCAACCATTGCGCCTGGTCAAATATTAGCCCGGATTTTATAAGAGTGGAACATGAAAAATCTGTAGGGTGTTTTTGATTCAAGTTTAAATTTAAATTGATGTGACTTGCAATTCATTGCAACTAAATTTGATATTGATAAAAAGTTGGTTTTGCTTTGCAGAGTGAGATCTTTCGTGTACTGATTGCTATAACAAAGTTGAAAGATAAGGATCGTGTACCAGCGCAGGAAGAGGCACGTCGAGCTTTAGACGCAGCCGTAAAATGGGGTATTATTCGACCAACAGATCGTGAAATTTATGAGCGAAATACTGGTATTTGTACAGTACCGGAAGAATGAATTCTTTCAAGAATATTCTTCGCCTTAAAACACTTATTTTGCAGGTGCTTGTAATTATATTCATGTTATCTTGTGAATATCAAAAGTTCGGTCTGAATGATGAAAGTCGTATTTTGAAGTAAATTTTTTTTTTGGAGCATTTTTGAATTATCTCGCGCTCTTCAATGATGTTAATTGATGTTTATAGCTTGTTTAAAAAAATCTTTGATAAAATCTTTTTGATGTTTATTCATGGCAAAATTTGATGAACTTTCAAGTTGCTGAACTATGATGTTTACATTTGCATGTTAGATTCTTTCCTCATCATATTTTCATGAATTTATGCCGAAATTTATGGCAAGCATCAAGTATAGTGGTCGTGTTTCATGCTCATCAATAGTACTGTCAAAAAAAAAAGGCTAGACTCTTTTCCGTAATGTCTGGTTTTGCGAAATCTGTTAGTGATATTTTATATTTTGGTTTTCATTTGCTAAATAATTCCCGATAAGCACTTCTTACGATTTAATCCACTTCTTTTTGAATGATATGAATTGAGGTAATTTCGGTTCTTTAAACTTTTGACTGTAGTGGCAAAGTTTTTCAAACATTTTATGATTATTCATCGTATACATTATTAGCCTTCATTTGATACCTTCATTAATCTGAAGTTAAGCAAATTCTGTTGTCGCCGATTGGGTAAATAATTGGGTAATAAGTTAAGGTTCAGGTAAGTAATGCTGCAGTTTCCTCCATTGTGTCGCGTTTATTGAATGTCCTGAAAGGTAAAAGAAAGAAACAATTTTCAAATGAAAGGTGACCATTCCTTAATTCTTTTTTTCCCTTGGAATTTAATCCAAATTTCTCATAACCGGATTATGATTCCGTTCATTGTTCGGAACAAGAAATGGTAAGTTGAAGATTCATCCATACACTTTAAAAAAAAAGAAGAAAATTGGACAGAAAAGTGTTTCAATAATGGTTGAACGGTCAGTGACGCCGGTATATATTGCCAATTTTTTTTTTTTTTTGTCACCCATCTTTCAATCAACCTATATACCAACCTGAAATGTACACTTTGGGTATTTCCAATTGGGGGAACAACAATACCTGTTTTCCGGTAATTCAAGAGATGTTTTAAAAGTGAATGACTAACGGTGTTGATCAGAATTTGTTAGTCGTTTTCGGTTGGAAACTATTATCACTTTTCAGTGATTTAGGATATTTTGTGGTTAAATTAATTAGTATTGATAAATTCTTTTTGTTTGAATAAAAATTATATGAGCAAAATTGTAATCGGAACGATCAAAGTTACCTTCCCAGATCAATTAATCGGAAATAAAAGCAATTATCCGAAGTTTTCCTTTGAAAACTTAGCAGAATCAGGTTATTTAATATTTTTGGGATTTTCATCTTAATTTTAGCAATTTCGAAATGATTTCGAAAATTTCAAATCAATATTGTCTGTTCATATTTTTACTAATGATAATACTCATCGAAACATGCGATGTTGAAGTTCGATTAAAATCTAATACTGAAAAACCATTCCAATTTCATCTTTCGGTTGAAGCCGTAAAATATTGGAGTCATCGAGTTACTGTAACAGGGAAAACGGTTAAAAAACCGGATGGTTCATTCAGTAATTATCATGTTTTTCATGTTAGCTTTTTTTTTTCCTTTTTGTTATTTTATAATCAATTCTTTTGCATATACGATAAATAAGTGAAAAAATGGATAAGAAACGGATAAGAAAAGATAGATTACCAAGCTATTTGGGATTTTTGATAACAACTGATTTTTTGAATTTTGAGGAATAATACCAGTCATTAGGAAATTATATTCGAGATTTTGAAAAATTGAAATTATATTTCTTCAAATATTTGTTGGCATCGTATTTAAACAATCAAAGATGTCTTGATTGATTGGTCAATAAAATTCAAAAATTTTTTTTTTATGATTGAAATTTCTTAATGTTAAAAATTTGACACTTTTTTTTTCTTCAACCACTTTCTCTCTCTCTCTCTCTCTCTCTTTTCAGATAAAAGGTCCAAAATGTAATACGAAACATTGGCATTTCTTTGTTTGGGGATTGAAAAAGGGAAGTAATTTAACATCACCAATATGGAAAATTACCGATCATGAGAAATTGAAAATGAAAAGTTTAAAAATGTTGAAATTGTACAAATTACAACCATATGTATCGATCACTGTAAAGGAAAATTTGAAAATATCTATGGGACCAATATTTGGTATTTTATGGTGTAAATATTGTTAAATTTATTTATCAAATGGTTAATTTTCTTATCAATTTGAAAAAAAAAAGAAAATGGAAATACCTGTGGAAATTTTTGAAAAATAATAACATATTTTAAACAAATTGATAAATTGTTTTGTCAAATGGTTAATTTTCTTATCAATTTCAAAAAAAAAAAATGCCTGGGAAAATTTTTGAAAAAAAGATAACATATTTTAAACAAATTGATAAATTGTTAATTTAAAGAAAAGATTTTACAAAAAAAAGGAGACATATTTAGGGGAATTTTTAAAAGAATAATAATATATTTTTAATAAATTGATAAGTTAAATTTAATCATTTACATTTGAGCAATTTTCGAATGCAAAACAAAAAAGAAAGCTGTATTGTTATACAATAAATTGTATTAATGATAACTTTTATCAATAATGATAAGATACAGGATTCTTTTTACAAAATTTCCAAATTATTCCATTTTTGGCATACTGTAGCAATAAGGAAAGCTAAATAATTGCATTTCCTGATAATACTTTCTTCTTATTCTAATATATTTTACACTTTTTTTTTTTAAAAAAACGTTTGTAACGTAACGTAAGTCTGTAATGTAGCGTAAATCACGTTGCCTATATTTTGAAAATCATGCAATACATTTCTTTTATCATATTCTAGATTATTGTTACATGGATTGAGTAAAAAAGAAAAAAAAAAATTTCATTCATTTACGTCATCGATAATTTAATGTAATCTGATATTTCCTACAAAATTATTCTTATCATTATCAGTAAATATCACAGTAATATGCTCTATACTTGATAATATGCCACTAATCATTGTTATTACCATAATTGATGACATTTTTTTTCTTCTCTAATGATAATCGACATTTGTTGTAAATTATCACTTTAAATTAAATAAAGATTTACACGTACTTTATCATGTAATCATGCAACATTCCGACGATATCAAGAAGAGAGTATAACTCATTGGCGGAAATTATTGGCTAAAATTTCGACAATGTCAACTCTGTCACATTATTTTGAAAATAAAATTTTTTATTGCAAGTCAAAATTATATTTCACTTATATTTGAATCAAACTAATCGATATTTTAATCAGAGGTGAAAGGTTAAAATAATAATACAAATCACTTATTACTATGAAATTATTAGCCTGAAGTTTGATGATGCTACTCCGTGTTGATAAAACATTCACAATTTAAAAATTGTAACTTTTTGACTTCTTGCCAAACAGGTTAGTGTCAAAAAAATTTTGATTGTAAGACAAAAATGAACGGTTACAGTTATGACTTCAGGATCAGGAAAAAAACTTCCGGAATAAAATACAGTGAACCCTTCCTTTTTAGCAAACTTTTTTGATTGCCATATCCTTTTTCAATGATGAGTTAATTTTCCATTGTAAAAAGTTATCTTCTCTATTTTCAATAAATTAATCCGATTATAATTATTATAGTAATTGAATTATATCAATGAATAATGACTATGATTATGATAATTCATAAAAATATTCTTCATAAATTAATTACATCATTATCTTAATGTTTAGTGATAAGTGAGTGATAAGTGAGCTGATATGCTTATCTTCTTTAGGCTTACTATACATAATGAGGGTAATTTATTCAACATTAAGATGTTATTTACAAATAGCTGTAAAAAGTTGTAATTGTTGTAAAAGCATCGAAATCGATCATATTTTAATATTTTAACATAATAGCAATATGAAAGTTTTCCTTTACAATTCTAATTTTTAAATTAATCCTTTGATTTGATATTTTGATTTAATGGTACAATTCTCGAAGCTAATATTATAGCTATTTAGTCCGGATTAATTCAATCGAATTGACAATTTAGCCAGATTGATATGTGCATAGATGACAATTCATCAAATATCTCTCTAATTAATATTATCATCATATGATTGGTATATTGTGATCATCAATTTGAATTAAATAACGTTCCAAATTTTCCGAATCATCTTCTAACGATGTACTCTCAAAAATCGGAAAAGTATCATTTCTGAATGGATCATCTTCCGTATGATAAAAATCCATAAAATTCGTCTCATCAAATGTTGTCAAAGTTTGATTTGCAAACTTGCTTTTTGCCATTTTAACGCAAGAGCCCTAAAAATAAATGATGTAGAACAATGTACATTTGATGAATGAAAAATTGTCATCAAAACCACATATAATGTCACTTGTCACAGTGAATTTAAGATTTCAATTATGGCCAAATTCATTAGTTCAATATTTTGAGTTCAATTCAAGAAGGTTCGATGTTTTGTTTCGTATTTAGCTAATATAAGTTAAGAAGTTGAACTTCTATGAATTATATCTAAATCAATCATTATTATTTACTAAATTATGCAAGAAAATTTCATAAGAAAGTTAAAAGTTTCCATTTCTCAAGCTCATATTTCCTATAAATTAATAAAAATTGAAATGCAAACTAACTGTATCATCTTGTTTGATCGCATCAAATTTTAGTTCATAACCCGGTTTACATTGACAGGTAACTGAAATTTCATTACAGTATGAATCATCCACATCACATTGTTCCTCAGCAATAACAGTATTCTTACAAAAACCACCAATGGTACCATTGATACGTTCATCTACCGAATCCATAAAGACAATTGTTGTTAGATCACGACATCTTCCGGCTATATCAATGAATCCTAAAAGAATTCAACATTTTCAAATTCAGAATCAATGATAACATGAAAATCTCTTTTTTATCAATGTTATCATTATCTTTTATCACAGAGGTTTATTTGTTTGTTTTTCTAGAATAAACAATGAATGAAAATAATTTTATACGAAATAATCACTCAGTTGATTAGCCAATTATTGATCACCAATTAGCATAGGTTTGAATGATCAAAGTTAACATAAAAATTTATGCATATCATTGATAAGTATAAAATTGATTATGTCACAAATAAAATACCACTACTTTATTGATGTCAGATTAGCGCATTTCAACAAATGTTAGAATACAGTACATATTGATATTTCAATTTACAAAGTTTCTTTTTTTATAGAAAGCTTTTCCTTTTTTTTTAATTTGAAATTTTAGAGTTATAATATAATATTTTACAATACTAATGAGGGATATTTGATTTAAATTCGATTGCACGATTTTTTGATTCGATTACGTGATTTGATTACGTGATTTGATTACGTGATTCGGTTAATTGAATAGTTAGCAAAATTTGATGCAAATGAATGCAAACAGCGAAGAAACGTGAACAAACAAACCTTCAGGACAATGTGTGACACATTTTGATTGATGTATCAGTTTATTTCGTGGACATACGCAATAACTTCGATCACATCGTGCTTCAGCGACACGCATCGAGCATTGGTCATTTTCTGTACAACCCTTTTGACCAAGATAAAGTACTAGAAAGAGTAGGTTAATTAGGAGATGAAGGGAGATGAAATACTGGAAAGAGTAGGTTAATTAAGAGAAGAAGGTAAATTCTGTCAGAAGAAAGAAGCAAAAATAGAGGAAAAAGAAAAAAAATAAAATTTATTAGGTTTTTAAAAGAATAAAATCAGGAAAGTAACAATTTCTAGCAATACTTACTTAATAATCTTAAGTAAATGAAAAAAAAAAAAGAAAGTAACAATAGATTACATTTCATGCATCGACCCTTTATTCTTGCTGATCCTTGTTCACATTCAGAATTTTCAGCATTATCAGCAGCTATTATAAATGCTCCTGATAAGCTCTCTGATATACTTAAGCAACATTGATAACGTTTGTATTGAACGGAATAATGACATGAATACATTTGTGGACATATTCCTGGATTACAGCTTTGAATTTGATTCCATTGATCGATTAAAGTTTGAGAACCTATTGGACAACCAGATCCATCTTCAGCTATAAAATATTTTGATAATTTTTAGAAATGAAATAATTAATTAAATCATTTCATTTCCAAAATTAAATAAAAATTAAAAGATAATTGTTGAAATTAAAAAAAAAAGAAAAACCATAATAGTTGTTAATTTTAGGTATTATAATTGTCGCTGATATAGCGTAACAAAGGAACAATAATCCCCTTTGTTAAAAGCCAGACATCTTTGCTTTATATGCTCATATCGTCTTAACCCTTAACAATGTGTGCTCCATGAGGAAGCTAATTCTTGTAATCATAAATGGTACAAGCATCCTCCCATTCGGAGAAACAGACCATCCTAAGCACCAAATCATTTCGAAAGATACGTTTCGACAGGTCGGTTGGTTGAAGAATAACGGGCGTCATTTAATCTTTTCGTTTTGGTTTTTGTCATTAATTTGTTGTGTCGATGTCGTAATTACAAGTTCGTTGTTGTATTAATAAATTTATCGTAATGAAAGGTTTAATTACCCAAGTTTGAGGTACTATCCACTAAAAAAGCAGAAGGAACCGTCAGTTTTTGTCACAGTTGAAGAAAAACGGCGACAATAATATTTGCTATTTATTACTTTAAAATAATTTAGTTTAGAAAACTTATTAATAATTCTTTTTCCTTTTTTCTTTTTACTTTTTACTTTTTACAAGAAAAGAAATATACCTGAATAGATAATAGAAAT